AAAATGTACTTTTAAGTTCGATTATAACAAAATAGAAGCCGGTACTTCCACGTTTGACATCGGATCTATTCTTGATTCATCTTGCCATAGCTGCGATTCTATAAAAGCTCAGCAGCCTATGAGATTACTGCGCAATGTAGCTAAACGTTTAAGTTATTTTAACAGCTGGTCTTGCTTTGAGTAGACTTGGACATAATAGACCTAACACCTTCATATATCTGTGTACATGCTTGTAAAGGCTCATTGTTCTATGGCTTTCAACAGAGGCACTGTATAGATTTCGCTTAACGGAAATAATGTCCCATACTCTGGGTAAGCAAGATGGGGGCCACCACGACACAAATTCAAGTTTGTAACTAATGCTAAATGTACCATTTTCATACTGGGTGACAGCGTTGCAAACACTGTATTCAAGTAAGATACAAAAAGAACAGACGCGTTTGCTAACAGCTGCAGTTGCAAGGACCTTAACTAACAGACAGTAAATTGACTAGTTGGAAATAAAGCGAGGAGTATTATATTAGGAGGTCACACTATTTACAGTAAAACGGATGAAACCGTGCGCAATATTGCCCGCAGTGTCACTGTGTCAAACTAAACATCAAGTGAGTCCCCCTCTGGCTCTAGTTATATTCGGTCAACCTGCGAATAATATTAACAGTGGCATTTTTGAGGACAAGTTCACTGCTGGTAATGTAACTGTTGTTGACTGGCTCTGTTCTAGCGAAAACGTTACACGTTAGGCTATGGGACAGACATTAATCTAATTGCAGCGTTTTCGCTTAACGTTACCCATAACGGTAGTGTATTATTAGTTATGTTTTAACTACGCGGCAAATGGAGCACTACGACCTTTAAATAATATTTACCTGATAACTTTGTATGACGTCTCGTCTATTACCACACTATAACGAAAAGTCGGAGCTCTGTTCGGTCTGTGTCAAGCTAATTTGAGCTAGTAGCATGCGCTAGCTAGCAAGTGGTCTCCTGGCGTTACGCCTTCCAACTTGACACTCACATTAGAAACTTACGTCATCTAGTTAGCTGTTTTCAATTTTTGATTTAGGTAAATATGAACTTGAAAGACTTAGCACCTACAGATCCTAAACTAACGGTGTTGATCAGCTAGCTAGCAAGCTAAACTCAGCTGATACTACAACTACGTTAGCCAGCATCAGCATGATGTGCCTAGCCAGCTAACTAAAGCCAACAATAGCCTTACGGGTCGGATTTGTGCTCACTCTACAACTAACACTTAATGCAGTTTACTTACCGTTTTATGTCCACTCTGGAGGATCTAAATAGCGAATAAGGGGACCTGGGTAAGACCCCCGTCGCTTTCCACACAGCTTCCACAACCAAAACAATACTTCTGTCCACACACTGCGGATCCCTAGCAAAGCTTTAAAATGTTTGTATTTAAACGTGTCCTCTAAAGAGTCCTTTCCTGTGAAAATCCCTTGTCTCTTGTTCTACGCAGGGACCCAAATTTGGGATAGAAATCAACTCGAAACCGTTAAAACTGTGCCTTAGTCAACGGCGACTTTTAGAAATTAGATCCCCTCAGACCAGTCTCTTTTCCCTTTGCAAAAATGGCGGCCCTGCCAGGACTACCGAGACTCCGCCTCCCCCACGAGCCCCCCTCCCTCCCCATCACTAAACTCGGGCTCCGCCTCCTCACACTGCGGGGCTACACTGCCAGTTTCTCAGGGGCACCGTGGCCGCGCTTACATGCGCGTTCGCAAATGCGATTCCTCAAGTCTCTGCTATTTATGTCGGTGACGCTCTGGATTTGACTTATACTGCACTATTGAGACATGACCGTCAGATGGATATTTAGCAGGCAAAATTGACTCCAGCTCGTTAGATATTTTATAAGTGACCATTCAACCTACAGAAGTTATAATACAGCTGCTTTAACGTTTGTTTTCCTCAGCATTTAAAAAAAAAAGTCTGTCAAAAGTGATCGCAGCATATTGTGCAACCCATGTCCTACACAATGCTCTGGTTACAGTAATGTCAGTGCTATCTTCAAGATAATCTTATGAAAGTGAAGTCAGCTGTGGGCTTGTTTTTATCAGGAGGTTTTGTTTAAACTAATTGTTGTTTCCCCTTCTGTTTCCTCTTCTTCCTCTCAGGGTGAAAGGGGATAGGACACAATCTCAGCTCATTAATGGGTATTTTGTCTCAACACGGACCCACATTGCCACTTTATATTAAATTTATTCTCTACAATACCTTACTTATTATTAATTTATTAAGACTTACTGACACAGTTGTTTTGGATGAGTAGGCCAGTCAAATTTGTCTATTAATACTGCCATAAGAATGCTTGTGGCACTAAATCAAAATCTAAACGTGGCTAGTTTGAACCAAAATCCTTTATTTTACCATTGGCATGGCTGAAAAGGAGCACTTAAATCCGCTACCCAACACAGTAGGAGGCAGCTAAGCTGTTATGTAACCCCTTACACAAGAGCAGCGTTTTGTGTATTGAACTGATGTTAGGAAGGGATAGCCTGTGAAACACTGACCAGCAAGATTAAATCATGGACAAAGAAAACAGACCACACAGGAAAATATCCAGAGGGCTGGGACATTATTGAAGAAGTCATACACACCGAAAATGCACAATTCACACTGGACCTGGTGTCAAATCTCAAGCACAAGTATCAGGATAAAAGTGAATGATACATTCTCACAATAAAAAAATAATTAAACACCCACAATCAAGTTTTTAGAATTTGTTAAACCACATATTAAATCTCATGTAAAATATTATGTATTTTGCGGAGAATGTGTGTTATGCCCTGTAATCGTCGCCTGTAGCGTTTGCAATTTACATCCTTTTTGTTTTATTTTACAACTTTATTGCTGAACATAAGCTAAGACATGTTTGACACTGGAAAAAAATAATTCTAGCATTTTTTTCCTACAGCTTTATTGTTGTGGTGACTGTCCTCTCTCCAGAAATATGCCTGTAGAAATCCCTTTGACATCATATGTAGAGAGGATGTTCTCATCGTTTCCATCTATTGACCCTCCCCCCACTCTGAACCGCATCCCCCGGCGCATGCGCATTCTTACAGGACCGCTGCAACTGCTGGCGCACGGGCAACGAGGTTGTTTGAAATAAACTTGGGGGAGGACGGAGGTGAAAGTCGGGCCGACCGAGCCGCCCTCACCCGCTTCAAAAACGGAAATGTTCGTAAACGTCTGTGGAAGATGCGGCGATGAAACGGTCCGTGTCGATTCTTCGGAGAGGATAACAATTTATTCATAATCGTTGTAACCATCGGGTTCTCGATCTGAAGACGATCTGGCCTGTTTTAATATGAGATTATGGCGCACAGTTGGTGGGAGATTAATCATTGTCCAAAAGCAGTTGATGAAAATCGGTCATTTTTGAGAAATGGCTGGTTTCTGATGACATCATGCAGCTAGTATTTGTGGGCGGGCTCTGAGCTGTGAGGGGAGAGGGGCGCAACCGGAGAGCAACTGCGACCAGGCGCCATTAGGTAACAACCTAACACAGTGTGTTCATAATCTCTCAAAGAGGCTTTCCGATGAGTAAAACCTAGATTAGGTCTAAGCGACAATGTATGTTTCGAAAATGAAGTGGAACACGGACTACACGCGTCGGCCTATAAAAGGCGGCTTCCTTTCGTCGAAAGAATTGGTTACTGTTGTCGACTGGGAACAAGATGGCGTCGATGATTTTTTTTTTTTTACTGTCAGCGCACGGGTCGCGCACTCTTGGGCGGCGGCGCCGTGCGCGTTCTCGTCACGGTGTTATTATTTCCTGTTTTTATTTTAATACACAGCCACAGTAGCTAACCGGGAGGTGACCGAGTGCACATGGTTTTACATTTGTTTGTGGTACTGTCCGACAGAACCACAATGTTCCCTGGAAAATTGACGCGAAGTTAAAAAAAGAAACTCTAAATCATTTCTGCAGGCTAAATATTTGATAATCTTTGTGTATTCCAGTTACACAAGCACTTAATTTTACTCTGCCACTTTTCACACTGACATTAAACATCTTGAAGGGGATAAACTTTAATGTCCAACATAAAAACAGTACATCATCCGGACGAGTTCATGCTTTACCAGCTCCGTTTAGCTTTTGAGCCCATCTAGTGGGCTATGCAGGTAGAACATCAATACATTTACATCTGTTATAACTATGTTTGCCACATTTTTACTTTTTATTTTATTATCTTATTTTTATCTGCAATTTATATTTTTTATGTTCATTTGTCATTTTGTGTCTCTTCTCTCGTATGTAATTTTTGTACTTTGAACGATTCCAAAATCAAAACAAAATAAAATCAATACAACATTACACACTAATGTTTTGAGTAGACTTGTGCATCACTGCATTGAACCTGTATAACATTAATTAGCTATTATTCAAGTAGACTCAAGTGTTAATCCTTTATGGTCCAAAATTAAAATTACTAAAAGAAAAAGCAGCAAAGCTTTTTGGAATTTTTACATGAAAAATTACATTTGATTATTATTATAGCAGTTTTCAATCAAATTTCTATCAATCAGTTTATAATAAACAATCATATTTTATAAACTTCATAGGTTTTTTGTTCGTTTGTTTGTTTTAAATGGGTCTTGTGAGCTATGAATAAATTCTGTAACCGAGTAATACCAGTGGCTTTATGCTCACTCGGTGTCGTCAGACAAGGATAGAAAAGATATGGGGGGGTTTCTCACTTAAAGTGATGGGACAGCAGTTTTTTCCTAATCAAATACAATATGTAGTAACTATCAGCCTGCCTTACCTAGTCAATGCATGTCACGTTTAAATTTAAAAATTTGCACGAACAGAAGCTACACAACAAAGACAATTCGGAAATCAAAAGGAAAGTCCAGTCCCCAGCAGAACACCAGGGGGCGCTATGTCTTATGAATGTATTTTTCATTCAGCCAATCAGCGTAGAGGAACAACATAAGTCGCCACTATCTGTCCAATCACAGCTGATGTTATTGGGAGGTCGTTTATTGACAAGGGGAGAAGGTGACTCCTCGTCGAGCAGAGCGGTACCTCGGGAGATATCCCAACATATAACTCGAAAAACACTGACGTTTGGTCAATAAGCGAGCATGTCTTCTTTTGGAAGGGCGCTGGGAGTCCTTCGGACGGGCACCCAGCTGCTTAGACGTGGCCCACAAAGGACAATGATCAGAAAGTAAGTAGTGTACAGCCGCAACCATGTTAGCTGTCTGTTAGCCGTAGCAACTACTTGCTAGCACATCGGTAAATTGAAGACAGTTAAATTGGTAAAAACAAAAACGGAATCCTGAATGATAGCTATTATTATTTAAGATTGGTGACATTGAAATATGTTTTTTTTTTAATGCTGTAGGGGTAGCGGTGGTCCACACATTGAGCCACAGTACAGGCAATATCCTCAGCTGACCAAGAGCCAGAAATTCCAGTCAGAGCTCATCAGTGGAGCCATGTGGTTTTGGATCCTTTGGCACTGTTGGCATGATCCTGATGCAATCCTGGTAAGTAAACATGTTATACACTATTCCAGCCCGTGGATGGATTACTGAAACGAACTACTGGGCACAGGCTCAATGGCCCAGTGGGTCAGTGGGTCCCTGCACCTGAGCGTCTGTGTGAAGTGGTTGTCTAGTTAGTGTCCGAAGTCAATCAAATCAACTAGGAAAAGACACAAAACGAGTTCAACTGGAACAGAGCAGCCACAAATAGATGCAAAATGACCACGAAGAGTTGCAAGATGCACCTACACATCGTCTCAGAATTAATCAATTTGCACCGAGTATGACACTGCAAAGCAGGTCAATATATGAAAAAATTGTTTAAATTGGTGTCAAATCCAAAATAGTGTCCTGAAAACTGGTTAGCTTTAAAAGAGATGTTTTTGAAGTATAGTATTTTGACATGCTGTAAAATTCTGCTTAAAGCATGCTTCCTGTTGTCCATACAGATTGTAGTGTCTGGTAAAATAGACGGTCATGGTGTAGCTATACAAATTAGATTGATTATTGTTGTGTGTGCATTTTTACTATTTTTTTTAGCTACATGTTGTCCAAGCCTGACAGGAACATAATCTGTTAATTTAGGATGTAAAATGGAAATGTTAAGTCAAGGTTCTTGGCTCTTATCTAGGGTCACTTCCCCTGGCCTGATGCTTCTGAATGGACGGACGAGGAGCTTGGAATCCCACCAGATGACGAGGAATAAGGTGATTTCTTAAGTTTGCTTAAATGACTTCTGGTATACTTAACCAATCAGGGGCCTCTACCACGAGGAGAGCTAACTTAATTAGCTAGTTGTACCTAATAAATTGAGTATGTGTTGATTTTTGTCCACTGTTGTAACATTATCTTGTTTTCTTTTGTTCATAGATCAGCAGGAGGGATTCAAGCTGCTGTGCAAGGCTTTGTGGAAATCTTCAGGATATTCTGAAAGTCACTGTTGTACATAGAGTAATAAAATTATCTTTAAGTAAGTTAAACTGCTGTCATTTATGTGAAAGTATTGCAGTATTAAGGTGTAAATGTCAAAACAAAACATAACCAGCTGTAAAATTGTGAATCTATTGCTGGGCAGATGTAGTCAGCTGGGGCTTGACGATAAGACAAATGTTATTTCATTAGTTTTATTTACACGCAATTTTTGAAATGCAGAAACAAAATGCAATGCATTAACAGTGTCACAGTTAGCCAGTGTTTGTATATTTTAAATCATAAGCCATTTAAATCTGGGAAAAACCATTGCAAGAACCAACGCACATAACACAAATGGCAAGAGAGCTGCATATAAAAGCAAAAGGAGACAGATCCTGTACGGTGAATACTACAGCTTATAACAAACCCTGCCTGCGGGCCAGCTCTTGTTTTCAATGACTTGACATGCAAAGAGTTCAAAGGTTAAAGTGTAGTGTAAGAAAAAAGGGGAAGAAATCAGTCTGGCAATGTGATTACCACTAAGTTGGTTCTTTGTGTTAGGATTACGTGAAACGCCTCATCAGGGCTGAGTGATTGATCACAGTCACTCGCAGGTCATGTGTACTATAAGTCAACCTGAGCAAAGCTTTCAAAGTCTCATGCTGTTAAATGAGTGGTCTTAAAGCTACTTGGCAACACAGCCTGGGTGTCATTTACATGGGTGAAATACGTTTTGGAGTCAACTTAACACGGGTGGTTTTTGTATAACACTGAGCTGAAAGTGTGTTAGAAAGCAGAAGGGGACAATACCAAATTCATGTGAACAGAAGTTGTAAAAGTAGCCTACTGTAAAGGTACAATGACTGACTGGTAAAAGCACAGCTTATCCTTACTTGAAAACCACGACCATGAATTTTTTTTTTTTTGAGCAATGGAAAACAAGCAAACCTCAGCGACTCCGAAGCAGGAGGTGAAGGTTAAAGTCTTGAACGAGTGCTGAGAAAATCCTGTCTGCATCCATGACGTGGCTGGTGGTTAATCAAAGGTTATGTCCATGGCATCATTCCCTGAGAGTGAAGAACTGCGCACCCCGAGCAAAACGCACATCTCACATCAGCACTGGTATTAAAAAAGAAAAAAAACAACTAAGGAAAAAAACCTCACTCATCCCATTTAAGTTCCTCAAACGTTCACTTCTGAATACATCGACTACTTTGGATCGACCACAGTGGCTCAGAATACTTTTTTTTTTTTTGCTAAATGATAAGTGGCACTAGTTGAAAAAAGCTCAGGTGTAGATATGGAAGCTGACATTTCTCAACCTAACCTAGTCTCTATTCGTACATAGCCAAACCCCTCTGGCTACAAGGAGAAGAGGAAACCAGAACAGACAAGAATCAACACAGGATCTATTCAACTGGGCAGGGAAAAAAAGAGTTGTGACAGAATCAAAGGTAATAAAAGTTTTGTAGGGAAACTGCTACTCAACAGATGATGAGGATGATGATCACATAAACTCTAAAACATCCACATTTACAAAACGTATGTGTTAAAGATAAAAAAAAGAGAAGAACCCCTATGAAGGAAAAACCCCTCAGAATAGCTGAGGTTTTTAGGGTCAAAATAAAATAAAATCATCTCTTTCAATTAATAAATACATCATTCAGAATCCATAAAAATAACATAAAAAAAATTAACATCACACAAAACAAGAAATAAATTAAGCAGGATAACATGCGAGTCATTTTCATTCTTTTTTTTTTTTTTTTTTTTTTTTTTTTTTAAATGAGTGAACGACTCGCAATTCCTATTAAAAACAAATTCACTAAGAGGCAGCACTTTGAGCAGCTTCCCTTCAGCCAGAATTCAGACCAGACTCCCCTCTAATTATCAAACAACAGTGCAAGTTTGAGAGAATATTTTGCACTAAATTGTGCAAGTCTGTAATGCACCTATTTAGATTTTTCTACAAAACAGAAGAATCAGGGGGAAGGACGCATCAAAGTGCTGCCTCTCACCCTTACCTTTCTCCTCAAAGTCATTATTGCTGGTGTGATTGAGATAAAGGGGGGAAGTCGGGAAGGGAGGTGAGGGCTGGAAGGGACAAGCATGAGTGGAGAAAAGTACAAACAATAAGCACCATTTTGAAATTTCAGTTCACCGCCGCCTCCTCTTCTTCCTCCTCCTCCTCCTCTTTAGCACCTCGTTTCTCCCCAGGGCCAAAAGGGAAAAAAAGACCCTGCAAGAGATAGAGCTCCGTTTCACCTGCTCCTCCGTCCTGCTCGCAGATAGCCGTGAAGCAAGTGAAGCTCGTGTAGGGGTGGGTGGGAAGGGGCGCGTTCACTGGAGAGAGGATATATTAGTAAATGTGATGCAGATGATCTTGGCATCAGAAGCAGTAGATATCTTGCTGTCTCCCCATCAAAGCAAGCGTTTTTGTCGTTTGTTTGGTAGACCTTCTACAGTAAAATCTCCTTTGTCCATTTGAATGCCCCCAGGAGCTTCAGTCCACCTTTCCCTGCAGCAGAAAATTTCATAACATGCTCGACTACGTCTCTCCGCGAAGCTCCTTTTCTGTTTTGTTCTTAGTGTGCTTGTATTGAAGTCGTGCACTTGCTCATTTCAAATCCAATACCCTGTCTCCTAAGCATGCACAGTGAGCGTGTTTTACGTGTCAAGATTCGTTCAGTTGTGGTCGTCTCCAGGCAGTGTGTTCTTTTTTTGTTTTTTTTTTTTTTTTTTTAAATCCCCATTCTCTACAGCACAAAAAGTGTCTGGTAACAAATACACAAATGTTTCTTTTTTTTCTTCTTCAAGAATTCATCCCCAACTTCTCTTCTGCCTCTGATGTTTTTGGAGTGTTACACAAAGACACGACTGTGTCTGTTGAGTTTCAGGATTTTCCCCAGTCTCTGCTTGGCTGTAGCCATTCCTTTTTTGGGCCGTTTGCCTGAAAAAGAAAAAAACGATCAGGAGATTAATTAATCATAAAAGAGTACCAACAGAATTACGCATAAAAGCTGTGAATGTTCACTGTCCATGTCTACTGCAACTAACAATAATTTTCATTATCGATTAGTCTGTCAATAATTTTCTCAAAATAATTCATTGTTTGGTCTAAAGAATTTCCAGATATTTCACATCTGTAAAATGTTGGTCTTTAAGAATGTGAAAAATACCCAACACAATTTACCAGAGAACGAGTTTAAATATTTAAATGCCTTATTTTGTCCAACCAACAGTCCAAAACCTAAAAAGACGGATAATACCATTAAATATTCACATTTTGAAGCTGAAACCAGTGAAGTTTTGGCTCAAAAAGTTACTAAAATTATATTAGAACAGTTGCACATTCATTTTCTGTCAATTGACTCATTAATAAACGATCATTTCAGCTCTAATGCCTCCTCATCTAGATATCGAATGTACTCACAATAACCTTGTGAAATGTGCATTTACTATTTTTATTTTTTTTTAACATTTTAATATTTCAACAAGAAGCACAAAGAAAGATTTCTAAACCTTTTGTGGCCTGATTGCTGATAGGTGGGGGGTTGGGGGCGTGCCTCTTGGAGGGGTGCAGCGGAGGAGACATTGAGGGGTCACAGTACTGGTAGTCCGTCTCTGGGCTGGTGGCGTGGCTTTGACTGAGGGGGCTTGGGAGCCCCTGATTGTCCCAGGCCTCGCTGCTGCTGTTGCCTTGGCTGTCCATTGGGCTCTTGTCCCCCTGCAGTCGGCGCTGGTGCTGCGCGGCCTCCCTCTGCTCCAGCCGCGAGCACTGGCTCGGACTGGACCACCAGGGCTCCTGGGATGAGGCTACCTTCTCCGGCTTGGAGGAGCACAGCAGACCAGCCATAGACAGCATCCCCTGAATGGCCTCTTCTGTGCTGGGTGAGGTAGGACGGTCTCTGCAGGAAGGAGACACAACGTGATTATTTACTACCTCTGAGTGCAAATAGAAACAACACGTTTCAACACAACTGTTTCTCACCGTTTGAGTGGTTTGTGTTTGTGCCTGAGTTTCTGGCCAGACTGGTCCAGCTCTATGGTGTGCCCTGAGCCTTTCTGCTGAGATGAGCCCCTCTCTTCCCCCTCCTCCTCCTCCTCCTGGGAACTCTCTGAATCCTCGTCAGAAGAGGAGGAGGAGGACGATGACGACGACGACGACGATGATGACGACGGCGACGATGATGATGCTTTACGCTGTGTTGGCAAAGCAATTTATGAAGATGTAAGTAAGTAAGTAATCAAAGCATGATTAGTAAGCACATAGAAGCACACTGTAATACTGTGTGTTGTATTTGTAATGCTAGGATCATATGTAAGGCACTAAATATATTTTTCTCCAGTTAATATTCAAATGAAATTACTTTCTACAAAGAAAACAGTTAACCAACAACATACTTAACAATAGTTATAAAGAATGAAATCTATAAAATCAGACTCCAAACATCTCAACATGTTTGACTCACAGGTTTTTTAGTGTCAAACTACAGATAGATCTACAACTAGATCGAAGTGTGAAGCCACTTCTGAGCATCAAGTGGCTTCACACTTCGATCTAGCTGAATTGACCGTGTCTGTCCTTCCTCTCACAAAGTTTGATATAAAATCCTGCTCATCATTTACCTCTGTGGGAGAGTCACTGTCTGACTCCACGTCTGACACACTGGAGTGTCCTGAGACTTCTTCCCTGAGTTCAGTCTTCACCCTCTCCAGACCCCCTGGAAAACATAACAACACCATCAGGAAAAGAGGCTGAATGAATGAATGAATGAATGAATGAGTGAATGCTCTTGGCTACAATTTCTCTGCTAAACTATGGTTTTAATAAGCACAGCCTCTGGTGACGTACTGAGGAGCGTGGGTTTCTCAACCATGCTGTGCTGCTCTTCACCGTCCTGTGTCCTCTCCGACTTCCCATCCACACAACTCTTTGGTGGACCTTGGCCAACAGATGACCGCTCACCCTCCGTCTTTACCGGGCTGCTGCCTGGCCGCCTCATATCTCTGCACACACAAATAAACATGTTTGAATAATGAAAAAAAAAAAAGTAATTTCATGAGACAACACAGAGAATCCCAACTGTGGAAGAGTAGATTGGAAAGATTTAAGAGAGTATCTGGTTTCTCAAAATCTTCTGATTTGTGGATTATATGATGAATCAAACTGACGGTTTGTCTGTGCATCTTAATGTTTCATTTCCTGCAGGAGGACCAAATTTTTTTATTAAGGTTGAAGCGTTAAGAGAGTTGAACTTTATTGCAATTGATGAGCTCCTTGTGAAGCATGCCAATAACTAAACCATCATATATATAAAAACATACATATTAAAATCATACACAGGACCATAAACATATTAATACTGTTGTATCAAAGCCATGTGTAACAGTAGTTTCTGTTGTCATTTTACATTATTTTATTTTATGTGGTTTTGGCTTGTTGTCTCGATGTTCTCATTTTGTTTTTCCTGCCTGTTTATTTTTCTCAATGAGCTCCTTTCTTAATCTCACTTTAATGTATTATTATGCAGATAAATCAAAATTTTCCATATTTATATACCAATATGTACAGCCATAAGCCTTAGTAAATAAGAGGCACAAACATTTGTGTGTTGACAAGAAAGAGCTGAGCTCTCACCTGATGATTCTGCCGTTGACCAGCATTAGCCGTAGGTGGTTGTCCTCTAAAGACTCTGCAGCAGCAGCTGCTGATGCAGTTGACACTTTGTTGAGCTTCCCATGAACCTTGGCACAAAACGCCGGATCCTGAGTAGTGCAGACCAGAGTCACTCAGTGTGTATAACCCATTAAAGACTTTAATCTACATCTACACAATGCTGCAGTTTGTGCTGATAATGAAAAGCACATTTAGCGATATGCCTTGACCAGATACTAACACAATACAGGCAATGACTCCCCACCATCTCCACAACTTCAAACCCCACAACCGTGTTATAAACACATAAATCCACACTTATACTACTTGTTCATTCCTTGGTCCTCACCTCCTCCAGCGGTCCCACCTCCAGCCTCCTCAGCACCTCCCTGGTGTGCTGCTCTAAGATGTCCAGGTTGGAGGGCACTTTGGGGGCCTGCCGCTGCTGCTCCCTCAGCCGCCTGGCAGCTCTTCTCGCCCGCCGGGCCTGGCACAGCCTCTCCAGTGTGGAGCGAGTGGCCGGGCAGCCGTTCGATCCAGATGCTACTCCGCACCCACTTCCCTGAGATTTCACTGGCTTGCTACCATTGACTGGTTCCTCCTGTAGGGTAGATATGAAAACATATTCATGGAGTCAAGAGTCTACCAAGATGCGCAATTTACAGGTTCACAAGTTCATGGATTTCCTGCAAGAAAAAGCTGCCCACATACAAAGTCTTCTTTTAATGTTTTTCTGTTTAACATTTTGCCTCATAATCAGATGTCAGTGTGTCTGTCTGTGCATGCTGAGCGTGGGATGTGTGACCGGCCTAAGCTGTATTGTACAAAGAGTAACGAAGGTCAACAAACCAAACAGAAAAACAGATCGTAGTCGTATAAACTGACTACTTATTTGCAAAAAACGAAGAACAAAAAAGGCAAAAATTTCACCAAAGCGCTCCTTCATATCAGATAAATAAAAAGTTTAATTCTCAACCCGATGTTTCTTAATGTCTAATAAGACACATAACGTACTGCATTGGGAAAAGTACTGTATGTAAAGCTGCAGACGAGTCGAGTCCAGGCAGAAGCAACACTGTACATTTCTTTTTGGACATGGAGAAAAATATTGTCAAATATATCAAGTTCAAGAGCAAATATTCATAGTAACCCGACCTAGCTTGCTGTTATCAATATGACACTGCAAAATGGACGTAGTCTGTAGAACATGATTTTCCGTGCTGAAGTGCTGAATGTCATGATGACACTGGACAATGTCCATGTACAAAAAAGTCTCTGAAGACTCATTGTCCTTGAAAAACATGTTAAACCTGCAGCTTTCTGTAGCAAGTTACACTTTATGATATTTAACAACAGCATCAATGCATCAGTTCACAAGGTCTAGATGAAGTGTAAAGGTCTGTCTCTGTCTTACCTCCATGTAGCGGATTTCCTTGGTCAGCTCTTTAATGAGATGGTTGGGCCTGATATTGTCTGGTACCTCACTGGTGGGCTCAGTCACCTGCAAACCCACAACAGACCACATTCAGACAAGGAGAAGTGAACAAAGAGAAGTCTGTTGTTGGCCACTGACGCACATACAGAAGATAAGGACAAACAGCGGTGACGTCTCCTACTGGAGCTCAGCTGCCGTGTAACAATAACCATCTGGACTGTAGGTACTCAAGATGGAGGAAGACAGAGATGACCGTGAGAACACTGTGGCCGACTCTCACCTCTCTTTTCAACCAGGTCTTCAGTGCACTGATTAAAGCCTTGACTCCCTCCACTAGGTAGGTTGATGGTGGACAGTTGTCCTCACGTAGCTCTGAGAGGAAGAAAAAAAATAAAAAACTTTCATACAAGGTTGAAATTCCACAGAGACAGACAGAAAAAAACTGTTAAATACTGTATGACGTCTCAAAATAGTACATACTTGGGCACTTTTTCGATTGCCCATTGGTTTAAAATGAATCGGACATGTAAAACATCTACATTTCGTCATTACATCTAACATTGTGCATTCTCACCTTTTAGCATTTCCAGGAGGTTCTTGGCCACATACCAACAGATGGCCTCGAAGTACGGAAACTTAAAGAGGTCTGGGGTTTTCAGACGACGCTCCATTTCATAACACCTATGAACCAACACACGAAATACACAAGAGTTTAGTGATAAAGTAACAAACACAAGAACATTGAAAAAAAATATATATATATATAATCAAGGCATCAGTATCATCTGAGCTATTTACCTGAGCTGCATGCCAATATTGAGGTTGTGAAGGAAGTTCCCTCCAAAAGCCATGCAATCCTGAGAGGTTAGAACAGCATGGATCCAGCCTGCAGGGGGCGCCAGAGCACAAGAGTTAACGCAGCTTATCCACAGACTAACTTGCAATAACTCAATATTTAAGACAGACCAACCAAAATCACACAGTAATACTTGGCAACTTGATCAAACATGCACTAGATTACACCGATCTGTGTGAATATGTGTGTGTTTACTATGTGTGAATATGCACAATAGACCCTCATGTGTGGGTACAAAAACAAACTTCTTATCCCCCCACAGTCAGACTTAGAAAGAGATAAGGTTGTCTATGAAATAACACGTTCCCCCTCAGATAAACAGCGTTCTTTATACAACACAAAGTGAGAGAAAGCAGAGTCTGGGGGGGTATGTGGGGGGGTTGTTGTAAGGCTGATAGACAGGCCTGATAATGCACTAGCTGACTGACCTACTGTGCTCTCTGACCCCCACTTAATTCCCACCTCTCCACACACCCTCTCTGCCAAAAGCTCTCTTTTACAATGCTGCTTCAGCCTGCTGAGAAGGCATGGCTGGAAGACTGATTGAGGACGTCCAGCAGTTGATGGGGTGAACTGAGCTTTGTCTGTCTGGGAAGCGGGGGGGGGGGTTGAAGGAACTCCATCAGCTTAAAAAGTCCATTGAAAGACTGATGGATGGATAATCGTATGACTACAGACATTAGCGTCACTTCGTTGAATAGAACCATTTCATATTCGGTCAGTGACATCAAACTCAAACATCCTTTTACCCTTTAACACAACTTCTAATCAACAACAACAACATTGCTAATTAAAGGAATGTATTGTAAAGTCACATGCAGGAGAAAGAAGTGATCTGCAGCATCACTGATTCTTTCATCATATTACACAAGAGCTCTGTTTCTCCTCATTTATCCATTGTAATTATGATCGTTAAGAACTGTTTGGGTTGTTCCTCAGAAAGAAATTCCCCTCTCTGTTATTTTCCCTTGGCAATGATAGAGGTCTTTCAAGAAGCCTGTATTTTCCTGGCAGGAGTCATGGGAAACATGATTATTTTAACTTTTAAATGTATGTGAAAAGACAAACAAATCCAGACAACAGATCAGCTGTGAACAACAGCTAGCAAGGCTCCACAACCGCAATGATATATCATTAGTGACGCAAATAGCTGTATGTCAGAGTGTGTGAAATTTATTGTGCTCGGACACCACAAAGTACCATCCAGGACACTAAAGGCTGCTTTCACACCGAACCAGTTTGGTTCAGTTGAAACAGACTCTGGTGTATTTGCCTGGTTTGTGTGGTTCGTGTGGGCTGGTGAGGAAGCCGTCCACAGAACCAGGCCAAACAACCGGACCGAGACCACTTGAAAAGAGGGTCTCGGTCCTTTTCCAAGCAGACTCTGGTGCGGTCTGTTTGTGGTCTGAAAGCAAACTGACCAACCACAGGATTTTGTTATAGTAGATATGTGATTTTAGCCTGAATTCAGGGGCTAAAGTGCTGTTAAATCCATCTGCTGAGGACAAATTGTTCAGGAAATTATCTTATTATGAAGCAATGTATATATTCATGCAAATCATTTGGTAAAATATATATATGCAATTTTCCCAGATCGAGCCAACGTTCATTAAAAAGTGCCTGACATAGTGACCCCACAATAATCTGCTGTACATGACATTTCTTTTTTGTCCTGTGTCTACCTGTTTGCCATTACTTATGTAATATACTTATAATGCTTATAATCAGTTATTCTGAGCTCTCTGGCTGTCAGTCTCTTGAATCTGATTTCCCAGCCAATCAACAGCTCTTTGTTGCTTTGTAAAAAGCCAGAGTGAACACTAACCAGACCAGAACTAAAAGGCAACAATGTTTTGTCTTTTTCTGTTCTTTGGTCCAGACTAAATGAACTGGACTACAGGTGTGAAAGTCAGAACTAGAGGTCTTTTTACTACAAGGAATGACAGCGCCACATTAAAAACATGCAAGAAACTTTACACAGGCATAAAAGATAGTTACAGACCTGTAGGTATGAGCAGGGTTGTTCCCTGGGGCACAACACACTTGTAGCACTTCTCCACTTTGTCCCCGAAGAACACTTCACTCTGATTGGGCGAGGAGCTCCATGCCTCATATAGTGCAAGATTGGCAGGAGTGGGCTTGATCAAGTAGAAGACCTTCTCCCCCTGCAGATCAGATGAAGAGGACTTTGAGTCAACAGACACCACACATGGATGACACTGATGTGATGTTGTTTGTTTGAGCGTGGCAGCTGTGTTGATACTACTGTTATTAACACCCACAAACACCCACAAACACCCACCGACACCCACCCACATCCCGTTTGAAATTAATGTCAGCTACAGTTTATAGAATAGACGGTGAGATCATCACCATGGGCACAGCAGTGCTGCTTCCAAAGCTGCATGAGGAAAGGGGACCTTTCAGCAAGTGCTAGCCAATCAGCCGTGACTGCCTCCCTTTAAGACCGCAGTATATACAAACCCACTAAAACTCAGAGCTTGACTAATGTAAGGGCGGCTTAGCCTTTGATTAAACAACAAACAGCAGACAAATAGTTACTTTGCCCTGGAACGTGTCTTTGGGAGCCAGGGTAGAGCTGTGCCACAAACACATTCAACTCTCCTGAAAGCACACACTTACCCAGAGAACATGGTACCAGACCGAGGTGCCTCCAAAGTCTATGTGGAAATCTGTGTAGCTGTCCTTGACCCCCATAAGGCAGTACTTCTGGACAAAGGGCTTGGGGAAGAAGGAGTCGTCCGGCCAGTAGTTCTCTACCCAGGACATCTTCTGAGCCACATCAGGAACCTCCACTAACCCCGACATCCTGCAGGTAGTTGGGGTGAGGCAAAAAGTGAAACCATAGAAAGGTTAGAAGGTTAGGTTACAGTTATTACTGATAGGAACCTTGTCTTATTTTTTTTTAAATGATTTCATAAGATCCCAGATTTAGTTTCAGTCATGTGTCCTCTCCAGGTATGTTAGGATATTCAAAACCTGCCCCCAAACTGAGCAAAAATTCTAATTCTCTTGTATGCATGCAGAGATTAAAACCTAAATCTACTTTTTTTAATGCAACTGCAACTAAGCTTGTATCTTGCAACTTGAATTTTTAAATACAAGAGCACAGGACTTAGGTTGTCAGCAATTATTATGTCTCTCCATAATTTAAAGAGATTTGATGCAGTTTAAAAGTTCATTCTTGACAATGAAACCATTAAAAAAAAAACTTAAGGTCCACCTGATGAAGGTGAAGCATCTTGCAAAAGTCAGTTAGCAAGTTAGACTGATATACTAAACCTGACAAACCTGCTGACATTGCTGAACTTATGTGAGCATTGTCAGAACTGTGACATAACTGACTTGTACTGCTATTGCCTATTAGGAATCTGTGCTTCCTTTAGCCAACAGAACAAACAGAGTTGCATTACTTACTTAGTGTCAGAGAACTCCAGGCTGATGAGGTTGAGGACCTTGGGTCGATGGGACTTGGTGAAATACTTGATAAACTCGCTGAGCTTCATCTTGCTGTCCGCCTGCCGTGCCACATCTATCACATCGATGACTTTGTTTCCACCTAGACAGGAGAGGAGCACTGTTTAGTCCATATAATATCAGATGGAGAAGTTCTGTAGTCGGTGACGCTTAAATGCAAAATATCTTTAACTTTTTAATTGGCTGCTGAGTGGGTGTGGGGTTCGCTGGGGTCACCAGCCCTGCTGGCATCTAGCTGTGCTTTTAGAGATCAAGCCCTGAGGTAAACTGGCACCAATATGGCAGAGTGGGGAGGGGTTGTACTGAGAGACAAGTGAGACAATCCGTCAATCTGTCCAGACCACCAGTCCCTGAGGAGCTGCAGTGGGTGGAGGTGATAGGTCCAATGCATTTAATGCATATATGCGTGCGTGGGAGAGCTCGAGCATAGAGGGAAATACGTGTGTAGATGTGTGAGAGAGTGTGCAAAAGCTGAATGTGGTGTGTTTACGTGTACAAGACTGAAAACAGATACTAAAAAGGAAACGAAAAAAAGAAGCAGAGACTCATAGCATACAGCTAACAGTCGCGACGCTACAAATCACACTCGGGTGACACATGGGGCCGGAAGTAGGGCCGGGGTGCAGTGTGTGTAGCAAGACAGCTGGTTGTTGTATTTCCCCAACACCCCTCCCACACACCTTTTTTATTACTCCTTTGCGTGTCCTCTCTCTCTCTCTCACACACACACACACACACACACACACACACACACACACCTCTAAAGCCCAGCTGGCCAGCGTCTGATGACAGAGAACAGCTGGAGTAAAGGCAGTCAGTCACACAGTGAGAGAAAAAGCTGCCTGGTAACCACATAACACCGAGCTCGAACACCAGCCTCACTAACACAACAGCAAGAGTGAAACCTTTCATAAATGTCCAAAATCCACAGCCCTGCTGAACCAGGACGAGAGGCACTTTGAGTTACCTGATGTCCACCATAATCACTGTGAGATATTACAACACTCAGTGATGTTAAAGAGGTCATTAATTAGGGTAATGACATGTCAACATGCTTGAACCACAAACTCTTTTCTCAGTGCATTAATTTCAGTTCAGTTAAGATTTACAGACCAACAAGGTCCAAGACCATTTGCTCTGGTGGAAACATGCTCAGCTCTCTTTAAACACTATACTTTATGGTGAATATGACACATACGGCTTCTTGAGTGTCCAGAACAGATCAGCATGCAATTTACTATTAGCATGGAATCATAGGATTTATTATTCTTACTATCAAATATTAGGATGGTGAATTCTTCTTTGTCAAAGGCCGCTGCAACAGCCAGCAGACTGTGAAAATGTTGGATTTAATCGCTGGTTTTGATGCCGGAAAATATTTTATCATTCCAGGCAGAGAATAAATGTCTATGACACCACAAATATAGACATACAACAGGGGACGCCGGCCATAACAGAAACGGGGACGTGGCGGTTATATGGTGTGGGTCTTAACCAGCACAGATTTTTACATATTTTTTGTCATAACCCCTGTATTTAACCCCCAGGGACTGAGCAGTCATTCTGAGCTGAGTCAAGTCTCATCTCAAGTCTCCATATACTGTTCCTGATGCGCTTTCCTTTAAGGGTCTAGACATTAAAAAATAGCCTCACATTCCATGTTCAGAAACATTTTAATAAAGCTATGGACTTAAATGTGTGGAGTGTCTGTATCATATCAATCTTCAGTACAAGCTGTATTTATGCAGCCTCCCTCATAACACTTACACTGACACTCATTAGTTCTCAAGCACTTGGCCAAATTGACCACACACTGAGCCGACTATACAACTGCATCAGACCCTAGTGAGTCACAGAAGACATCCCCGTTCACTCCTGGTGTCCCATTGTCTTCTAACTGTAAGAAATGTAACCCGACACTCAGTCCCTGGTCACAACACCTGTGCCTTGGCTTAATGCTCAATAGGGCATGGGAGAAAGAGATAAAGTGAGAGAGGGAGTCTGTAATCTGAACTTAATGATAAAAACACCAGCGGGCTCGGTAATGGGCTTGTAACAGGAGCTGGGAAGTGGCAAGCTGTTTCAGTAAGGAAGCGTAGTGGTCACAGAGAGGGCAGTGAAAGCTTAGCCGTCACTCCTTTAGACCTCATTCAGCCGTCGTCTGATGCCTGATAAGTGGGTTAAAACCCCATGAACCTGGAAACCTGTTCATATTGACACACAGATGGCGCCTGCTCAGCTATGGCCACTTAGCTGTTGGGTGGTTTCATTAGCTTTTTAACAGACTGAGGCTGCTACATATTCCAATATCAGAGCCCACATCCTTTCCATCCCAAAGGATAAAAACTAATGTGTTACTGTAGATTTAATACAGTCGAGGGAAACTGGTTTACACTACAGAATAAAGCCTGTTCATTGTGAATCTTCCTTACCCACATACTGCTCCACATCTTTGACAGAGAAAGTAGGGGCTGGTAGTTTGAGTCCCAGACCCTCCATCTCGGTGACCACTATGGGGTAGTTGAAGCCGTGTCTCTCCAGGTACCTGGGTGTCACCAGCTCACCCTTCATTCGCATCAGAATCTCCTCACCACTGGAACAAGATCATAACAAGTTCAGTAAATTCGATCTATTGCCATTTCATTAACACAGCCTCAGAGTCATGAGCCTTTAAAGATTTTAAATGAGCAAGAAAAGCTTCTGAATTCAGGTGGATTTACAGTTTTACATGGACGGGTTACGGCAACTACAGCATTACAGCAACTATGAAGATACCATGTGGATGCAACAAGAAGTGTGAATGGTTAAAGCTTGGGCTGCTTATGTTTTCTCCATCATTGGAGACTGCTGATGGTGAACACAACATCAAGCAAACTGAAGTCAATTATTTGTAACCATGCAAACCACCTGTACAACATAATCATTGCTCTCAATGGCAGTAAATATAAGAATATAAACACAGCGACACTTGCACTGCCATTGAACAAAATTAAATTAAAACTTAACAGTTAATTTGGGGAATATGATTAAATCACAGTACAACCTGATCACGTACAATCCATCAATTAATTAGATTAGTGTTGCTGTGTTGATAACAGCAAGTCAATTCTGCTGCTGATGTATAAATTTAAAAACCTGCATCCTAAGGATTTTAGTTGGGACTGCCATCAACTCTTTGCGTCACTATTCATGAGGAAATCTTTATCTGGTAAAGCAGATATGAATGAGGTTTGACCCTTGTGGCTCGGTTGAAGCAATTTCAAAGTAAATATGCATGTGTCCAAATTGATGTCTACCTGGCAAAGGTCCTGTTCTGCAGCTCCTTGATAAACACTGGGGTGCCAGCTTGGACTGGCTTTGATCCATCATCTGGCTCTGTGTAGTCGTGCCTGTGCCAGTTGTTGCGCTTTTTCACTGCAAAAGAAAAAAAAAAAAAAGACCAGAGTTTCACAGGGTTGTTTCGTTCTAATGTCAGCGCCCTCTTGAAGCTTGCTCTCACAACAAAAGTGGTAAATTATGCACATCACCACCACTTTTCGTAAGGACATTAATTCACTACTCAACCCCTGAGCTAAGAGATGGAGATGGAGATGAAGGGGCTTGTCCAATCAAAGTGGAGGGCTTACAACACCATTCAATTAGCCTATTAATGTCTGCCCTCTGGGCTCTCAGAGGTTAACCCATTCCCCTCCCCCCCTTAAAAAAAATCTGACTTGACCAACACCGTGGAGAGCGGCCTTTTCCCCTGGGACCAGTGCAACATACAGAGAGACAGAGGTGGGAGGGGAAATACTGAATGGATAGAGTGTTAGACATGTAAATGTAAGGCAGAGAATCAGAGGACAGTGTTTGATGAATGAGATGGTGGTTAGGACTGAGGGAAGGAGAGAGACACATACACACACACACAGAAACAAAAAGCAAAGGAAACATGCCACTAATGAGAGAAAGCATTACTCACTCAGGGAGGGTCCATGTACGACATCACAGTTGGGGCAGTGGTAAACATCGATATCCACAGCATGATGCTCTTCTACCTGCACACAGCTGGAGAGACAGAGAGATACAGAGTCAGAGCAGGTTCACACTTTAGATGTTCAAGCACGAGTCAGGATTTATCCTACATGTCTAGCTCATGAAAGACACTTCATTTTGGTTTTTGAAAAACTTAACAAGACACGTTAAATAAGAAACTGTCAGACAGTAACTAGGGAGTCAGATGAAATATTTCTTGGACAATGTGAAAGTAGGAAATGATCAATTACACAGGCCTCTAATTGGGTCGTTGTCTGACCTGATTGGCTAAAACAGATTAATCACAACCAAGCTAATGTCAAACTTTGTCAAACCCTATGCACATGTTGTGAGAGGAGATGCCAGGGGTTACAGAATTGAGGTTAACAAACACTGAGATACAGCAAAGTACAGTTTGTGTCTGGAAAGTGACCTTTGCTCTGATTTATCTTTTTTTTCTCCTCCAACTGCAGCTACACTGATATTTGACAGAAGGGCACATTTCATGGTTTTGGTACAATAATAACGAAAGGACACAAAGACCTCCCTGCCCATTTTGCTAAAGCCACAATCATTTAGATCATTTTCCTTCAGCAGCATCAACATCAACCTCCAAGTTGTAATTCAGATTTGGAGATATCAGGAATTTCTGACCGCAGCAATATCTCCCACCGGGTGAAACGAACCGCAGAACTGTCAAAAAGGCACAAAATTGCTGCAAAGCCACCAAAGCTAGGAGTTACATTAAATCAAATCCAAACCAATATCAACATCAATTCAACTGATTCAGCTAAATAAAAAGAAGCTACAGACAATTAGTCTCAATTAGTTGCTTAATTAACTTAAGTACGTGCCATAGTAAAGGTTATTATTTTGGCTCTTTAAGTGGTATGACAACAAGGTTGGCAGTGCAGGTAACCATAATGGAATAAGTCTGACTAACGAGGTTTTCCTGTTCTTCCCTTTTTGTTGTCATTGCGTGATGCAGCGTAAGGTAAAAAACCTTGGCTGCACATCAACTGCTTGTACAGATAGTGAGGATTGTTGCAGTGTTGTGTTTTTTCCCCATGGATCTGCAATAGTGCCACTCATGCTGCTACCCCCGACTGTCCTGCAACAGCCAAACCACAGGCACCAACACACATGCATTCCTCTGTTGCATACCAGAGCTCCATTCCAGAGCAGCATGAGTTGAACAGCAACTGAGTTGCCATTCAGCCTGAACGGACACCGATGGATGTTCAGAGTTGGAAAGACTGCAAGCAGCGTGTTACTATTACTTAACCATTAAAATGAACCATGCACATGCTTAAGTGATGTGCACAAAGAGATGCAGAGATCACATACAAAGGACCCTCTGTGTTTAACAGGCTACTGTTATGGTTGTCATTTCAAAGTGATTTCTGAGGTCTGAACACAACAATTGTGTTTTATGAGATCATATCATATGTCCTCAGATGACCTGATAACCATTAAGCATCTTCTGGTTGATTTCTAATACTGTTCCTCTAAATCGACACCATTGCTTTGCTTAAATGCTTGTTAGTGTGCCCATGTGCATGCACAAAAAAACTCAAGATATTGGACACATAGTTTGGAAAATCTGATTTGAAGCCACATTCAGTGCATCACTTCCTCTAGTGTGATCAGACAAAAAGAAACATTTTACTAACACACCAAGCTGTACCACTCATAGTATTCTGACTTCTCTTATGGCTGAGGCCAATGCAATTATTTGACCTCTTCTACTTCTTTTTAATTTGGCTAATTAGGAAACATTCCGCTAAGCACCATTAGCACTGTGATGACTCGAAGGAATGAATTACACCATGCAACCCACAGCAAAACTGCAAGCACTTAAACTTAAAAAAAATTGCCATCTTCAAACCATCATCAACTTATTACTGAGTGGCTTCAAGTTGGTGGCTAGCAATAGTATAGTGAAGGGGTATAAAAGATGAGTTTGTTGCTGATATGAGCTCTGCTTTTAAAACAGGAAAGCCTGGAGGAGGGATGGTGATGACCACAGTCTGCTATCACCTTTGATCTACAAGGAATTGCAGGAAACTGTAAAGGAAATAAAGCCAAGGGCCATTAACTCATCAGGAAGTGGTGAGCTTGTGTGAGTGGTGGACTCCATCACCCTGGTGCACTAACAGGATATCAACAGTAGCTGACTCTCCACAGTTTACCACATTCAACCTGGTGTTATTACTGGCTGCGTAGAAAGCGTACATTGTTGAAAAGCATCACTGCGATTTCAAACAGGCATGTAACTCAAATCTCTACTAAGTTGGGGGAAAGGGTCATAACATGCATTTAGTTGCCGTAATCATTCTGAGTGACTTACTAAACAAATACATTAGGAGCTTTACATCAGTCCAGTAACTGATGGAGTATTTATTTTGCCATTAAGCAGGCCCGTTTATGTCAGAGGTACCTTTTTTACAAGATGCATATTGCCTGCAACATGCACAGAAAAAATAAAAGAGTGAAAAAAGGCTCAAAGAAGCACTCCTGCTCCTGCACGTGAGCAAGCAGATGACCAACAATAACACTGCACAGTGCTTGGCTGTAGTATTAGGCCCAGCTCATGTATCAGGAATCTTGGTTCAAACATGTGGCTGATCGCTGGGGGAAAGCATGAGTCACAGCTCTCTGCTGCCGGGTTCGTCAAGATCTGCGAGAGCAGCGTGTGCTCAGCTGAGGTGACCTTGTTGTCCTCATCTCACTTGGTATTTTCCTTTATGTAATGCCACAGTGGGAAATCAGGGCACTGTGCCACATTGGCAGGCCTGATTCAGCGTATGTGTCACCTGAAATGATTGCTACTTAACAACCCACCCAGGCTTATGAAACTGTGTGGACTTGAGACAGAGAATGCAAAACAAGGGAAGGAAACTCAGCTGAAAGGAAAAGAGGGCCAAGTATTTCCTGCCTTGCTCAGGTCTGATGGTGTATTGCATCATTGCAAAGCCGGTGAGTGTGCAAACAGTTCTTGAACCCACGTGAACCTCATTTGCTTGGAAAGCAATGAGTGCGAGGATCAGATTGGAGACAATTCAACTGACGTCAACTTAATACTTAATGAGATTGTTTTATCATACATTGTAGAACAACAACAAAGCATACTTTAACAGAGGGTGGCAGAGAGTGCAGTCAACTTGCCCCAAAGATAAAACAAAACCCTGCATATTCAGACTGGAGTTATTCTGTGATGGCACTGCAGCAGATTACCAAGCAAAACATCCCTTCCTGAATGAGAGGAGATTTGTGTACTTGGCTAAAGCCCTGCCATCAACAGCCCCTCTCCCTCCACTTCCTCTCATCAAGGGCCTCCTTCCTGTGTGACTGAGAGAGCTTATTCATTAGTCCATGCACTATGAGGGGTTCATTGTCCTCCATGATCAGTGCAGAAACACAAAAGGCTGGAGGCGGGTATCGCCATTATTTTAAGCTCTAAATAACCGCTCTGCATGGGGCGCTGACACGCCTACATTAGGGAACTGGCAGATCGCTAATGGATGGGTGGTAGAGATAGAGATTGAGGAGATGAGGGCAGTTAAACACACCTGGCTATCTTTATCTACCTCAGAGGAGCACCGGACTTCTCTGGCCCTTTTCCTAATGCACTCAGCCAAAGCTTACATAAACAGTGCTGAACCTGGGCAGCAGTAAGAGCAACTGAGCCCTGACAGATGGATAGGGATCTGTCATTTTGGCCTTACTGGTTAAATCATTTTAGCTAGCTAGGCGTAAAAGCAACTGAACATCCATGCAGTGGTTACAGCTTGAAAGAGACTGTGGGCCTCCCTGTGTAGTCAGCTGGTACACAACAAAAGAGGATCACTTTGTTGTTTATGGGGCGTCAGGGAGCCCCAGGGAGTTTTAACAACCTAATTGTTTTTGGTGCAGGTTGAGTTGCCTTGAGGGTCCTAGCACTGGGGCTCTGCTTTCACACATGTCTTCAACATGGTTGTCTTTAGGCCCTCAGTGCCCCTGTAAAACCTACAAAGTCATCAGTCATGTGACTGCTGCCAACAAACTCATTCTGAACTCATTTGAAGGCCAACTGGTTTATGGATGAATCTCTCTCTCTCTCTCTTTACACGTGTCAATAAGCATTTCATAATATCTGACGAATTAAAAATAGGTCAGTGTTACTGTAAAGATAAGAAGACAAAGAAGTGAACTGTTTTCTTAAGGTTCTTATGCAGCAATATTGAGCAGACGTCCATTGATTTGGATTTGATATTATGCTGAGAGAGCCACATTTACTCCCACATTATAGAGATTTCTAAACCGAATTTTGAACTGTATGGCATAATGTATGGCTTTAATATCTTGATTCAAACTGACTGATAATCAATACATGAGGCTGTTGACCCCTAAATAACGTGGATCAAGCTAAAAGTAATGCAGTTTCCCTGCTCCCCAGAGACAGCCTTACTAATGGATGTAAACATGGCTTTTAACATGAGCTATGAGGATGCATTGGACTTTGTCCAATTAACTTATGAGACATCTAAACAGACGATCTGAAACATCTCCTCATGGACAGTGGTTTAAAAAAAAAAAAAAAAAGGAACTCTTCCACTCATCCATCCATCCACTTAACACAAACACTAAAAAGGCACTCTGTAGAGGGTATCCATCTCTCTTTAAGTGTGCTCACACTCTGTGCGACATTGACGGATCGTGCATTGAACTTGGCTCACTGGCGCTCCCATCAATCATTTGGTCTGTCCCATCAAGCCCTGCTGCTCTATCATCACCCCCACCAGCCATACCTAAAATCAGACAATGAGCTGACTGGAGAGCCTGACACCTACAACGGGGTAAACACCATGATCTGACTTGACCCAGTGAGGATTTCCAACAATCCAACATCCACGTTGACATATATTGGCGTCCTAGAAACAATGAAAACAATCAATTTACAGAGGCAAGTCTTGTAATTAGCTGAGGCTCTAAATGGTAAATAACAGATTTCAAACTAACATTTGTAATCTAAACCACAGGCTTAGTAGAGGGTTCTGGTGCCTAGTGGAGTCCTTCAGGGCAGTGGTACATGAGGGGCTGCAAATTAAACTGAATGAGTCACAACATGACTAGCAGGATAGCAGAAAGTCAAAGGATTTCTTTCACACACACAGATTAAACACAATCAAATGAAACTTGTCAGAGGGAAAAATCTCTCTTTGGTTCAACTGCTCATAACAGAGAAATATCAAACCTGTGATGAGATGTCACATAAAGATATCACCTCTTTTGGGGTTCACACAACACTTTCATTTGACCACAAGTATACAGCAACAACTAAACATCTCTTCCATTATGTGTGTCCCTGATAGAGCCGAGAAATGTCTCTGTAAAACATTGGTATTATGATGTGAGACCATAGTGGAGTCTAGAAAGACAAACACACATTTTTCTGTTTCCCAGTTACCTCTCTGATCACTAGTCCGACGCAAAGAAACCACAATAATTCCCCCAGTCCTCATCCCATTAGAGTCCCAGGCTGTATTGTGTACTGAGATGCTAAGAGATATAAGTGATGGAAAACAGGACACTCTCCAGAAACTGAGACAGTGAGACAAAAGTTCCCCACACAAACACAAACACCAACTCCGCTAGCCGGCTGAAAAACAGGCACCAGGAGGCTGAGCTCCTCTCCTTTCCAATTCATCGGCGTGCCATCATCCACAGCCAGAGAATATCCCTTTCCTTCTGGCCAGCCTCGTGGGAAAGAGGCTGGAAATGTGGCTGTTTTTGGAGCTCTGCTTTGCGTGTGAGCGTGTGTGTATCTGCTTATTAGTCATCAATGGGGGAAGCTCCAACATTTGTTCCTTTTCTTGCTGGCACATGACACACAGCCAGCCAGTTTTTTTTTTGGCTCTGATACGCCACAAATTCTGGCCAGCAAGTTTTTTGGCAGCACGAGTAATGTGGTTACGCAATGGCTTCCGTCATTTCAACACGAGCAAAAACAGATTATTGTATTCATAAACAGTTGCCGTGGAGATGCGCCCACACAGGCAGTTTCAAAGGATCGAAGAACGGGCTGTCTAAGACAGCTTTTGGACTTAAGTCCACACTCATAAAAAGTGACAGTTATATGAAGTCACATTTTGCTGGTTACCTGAGTCTGACACATCCCATATAATTTGACAACAATAAGACCCTTTTTTGATCCCTATGGGGAAAGGCTCTCGCCATTCTTCTCTTAGGGTTAAGAGCACAAGCTACACAACAGTCCCCTGCCTTGCTCATGGGCATTTAAACCGACTAGTGCCTTAGAAAGAGGTTAAACCCTCATCACACAATTAAAAGTACAGTTTGTACTATTACCTAGGCCAACTTGTCACTCCAAAACAGTTCAGAATTATCTCAACCTGAAAACATGGAGTGTTCATTACAGGTACTGGGTGTGGGACTACAGCACATATGACTGAAATTTGACGTTAGGCAATACGTGTGGAGATACACAATGGGTGGCATTACACAACAATAAAATTCCCGTTATGATTCTGACAGTCACTGCCCACACACCAAATGATTCATAAAAGCATCTGTAACACAATTGGCCCACTTGCAATCACTTGGATAGGATACTAGAAAGAGATTAAAAAAAACAGAACAAGAAAATAGCAGTCCAGGGACATGTGCCTACCTGGTACCTTTAAATAATCCCCCTGTCCACCACTAGGGGTCTCCTGCCATGTGCCTCCTTTGCTTGAAAGGGGGTTTAAATTTCTCAAGCTGTCAATCAAAAGCCGAACCATAACAAGCTCGTTGTTCTCTACCATTTGCTTTACACTAAAGTAGACTACGAAAAACACAACAAAATACAAAAAAAATAATAAATCTAATTACAAACAGCTTGAAATGTGTTTATATTAGAATAGAATATTTACCGATGGTGTATAATGATAAACCACAGATTATATCCAAACTGACAGAAGTTGTTCATAAAATGTAATCTATGCAAATAAGTTTAAAGTACAACTACAAGGTTGCTTGCGGTTGCCATTACCTTGAATAACCTGATTTGGGCAGCCAGATTGCGGGCTTGCACTCCTAACACTACTATATTTCGACTGGTTTAAATGGCTCTTAATCCGATAAATCAAAGTAAAAACATTATTAAAACTTGTGTCTGAAGTAACTGTAAGAAACAGGACAAATGCCAGCTTTGTCTGTCACGATGACCCCGCCAAGCTTTTGATCACCCAGGTTGACTGACACAGCACGGCAACACTGATAGATCCGCATATTAGTAGATAAAAACTATTTGCTATGGGGCTGTATTTGAGCCAACAACGGTAATTATCAACATACTTACAGAGGACAAGCACAAGTTTTGCGTTTTGGACTCATTCGCGGAACAATAAAGTAAATATCAGCCCATTTCAGTGAACGCAACCCCACTTTCTTTCGTAAAGTCGTGTCAATAGACGGTTTAAAACCCCCGTCGCCCACCGCTAACGTTAGCAAGCTAAGTTAGCTACCAGTCAACACCGCTTAGAGAACCGTCGCCTTTCCTTAACAAACAATTAGTGTTTGTTGATTCCAATGGACTACTTCTCTAAAGGACGTTATAACCGACATACCTGCCGTGGAACCAGTCTTTACAGATGTCGCACTCGATCATAAACCGGCTCACATCGTAGGGCTGCCGGCAGACACAGTACAGCGGGGCCGCCGCCATCTTCCTACTGTCCCCAAACAACGCAGGAATGAAGCGGGGCGGGGATTTAACCCATTCTCCGGAAAAACCCGAGAGTACACGAGATCCGCCATTCTAGGCAATCCCACCTCTGACGTCAGTTTCCAAATTATTCATTTCCATCTGGTTGTGTAGGCACACCAACAATAGACACAAACTTTTTCCAACAAAGCAGTGACATAATGGTATTGTCTTGGCTATTTTGTCAATGGTGTAATCTGAGGCTTGTATTCAGATAAATCTGATCATATTAAGACTAAATAAAGGAAAATGGCGAGCCTCATAGGTCTTAAATGGTATAATTGATCCCCGAATTTCCACTAAAATATGCCATTCTGAATTTCAGAAAATGTGTATGAATTTATGCACAGGAATAAAATAAAAAATATCATATAATGGAAAGCACCGCTTTGGACACATTTTACTGTGTTGTAGCTTCAATTAAGCAACTAAAAATGTACAAAAAACAGATAACTGTTGTCAAACAATGTGTACAAAGTGTTTTAGGTGAGTGAAACTAGCACTGACTATCTGCGTGCAAATGTGCAGCATCAGCACAGACTTATCAGTAACCTATTAACACAGCTATGATGCAAAGAAAAAAAACATAATTGTGTCACATAATCCAAAGCAGCTAGCTCAGCAGAATATTTGCAGTTGCAGAGTTGCAGAGACTTCCTTGGGTTTTTACACCTCTCCTCAGTGAGGAGCTACTTTTTCAGAATATTCTCAACCAATGACAGCCATGGCAGAAGAACATAAAAATCAAAACATAATATCCACTCCTGGTATGTCTCCATGGAGCGTGTCTGACATGCCCTACGTGCTTGCGTGGTGAATAGCAATGGGACCACCGACCCACAGCTTGATCTGTGAGCTGACAGCACCCATCCCCCCACACGCCCATCTGTGCTGCTCTGCATAGACAAGCAGGCTTGGTGCATGCAGAGACTCATAAGCTCTCATTGCACAGAAAACACGTGTGATTCACTAGGCTCATCTGCACATCTCATCTGAATTGTTTTTTTTTTATTTTTCTTTGGTGCATTCTCAGGCTGCAGCAAGATGTAAACATATCCTTTGTCCTGAGGGTGATAATAGCAGCCTGCACCGATTGGTTTTGATGATCATTATCATGTCTTCACATTAGGGTTTCTCTCTTGTCAGCCTAGTGTGACCAGTGCAACTTTATGTCTGGTGTGCAGATCCACACATGCCTGTAAACACTCCTCCTGAAAGTTAATTGAGGTCAATGGTTCAAAAGATGGGTTAGTGTCACTGCTGATGGATGGCTATGGACAACTTCTACTTCTTGAATCAATCATGTGATGATCAACCACAGAACAGGCTACTTTCATTTACCTGGAAAAGCATGGTTTCAGCTTTAGATATTATCAATGACAGCGCCTTGTACTATTACATAATTTAAGTGGTTTATGGACCATTGTTAAGATATCTAACACCCCTTTGCAAAGGACAAAGTGTAGCAGACCTACTTATAAGATCATAGCAGGCTTCACAAAGAAATATAACTGACAATACTTTCAGATCAAAAAATGGAAAGTGAAAGTAAGCTGCAATATATCTGAGCAAAAAATTTGCTGTGTAGGCGTTTTGTTTCACTGCAAACAAACACTATCACCCATCATACACCCATCTTGTCCCCCTATTAATCCTAAGCAGTCAGATCATTTCAAAACTGGACTGCTAACCTAAGAATGGCTGACTGAATTACATCAGCTGTTATTTAAATCTGTAAATAATCAAACAGCATGTAAGTCTGAATGCATTAGTGAGGAAAGGGAAGCATTAGAATAGAAACAAAAGGGAGTGCAACATAGGAAAACAATTAGTAAAGTATCCAGTTGGTTTATGCAAGATATATTTTTTAATAATCTTCTAACAATATTAAAAAATACATTGATTACCATTTAAAATTAAGAAAAGTACATACACATTCTTGTGTCCAGTAGCAAAACTTAATAGAAATCAGGTCTGTATTATATGAAGAATCAGAGCTATACAAGTTTGTATTTCCTTCCCATACTGGGCTGTTAGAATATAACACATCAAAACCAATAAGATGACCCATTTGTTTCACTGTCTGTCTCTTTAAAATCACCCATTAAGCTAATTGAAGCACCCACAAAAATCTCTACCTTATTCCATTCTATTCTATTCTTAAACTACTTTATTTACATACATTTATCTTTAAAAGGGCAGCATTTCAGTGTTGAAACGCCACCTGCTGACTGAATAAAGCCATTATTCGCTGCGCGTTCACGCCAGTAGGAGCGCGCGCGTTACGCACTTTCCTACGTCACTATTTACCCAAACAAGGAAGAAGCGAGCCCGCCCCCCTGTGAGCTAGCATCATGGATGGATCACGGTGCACTAAAATTCAGATTAAATTCAAACCGCACTTATAACTTGTTGAGTACAGCTTCCAGAGACACTGTGCCACGACTTAACATCTAACCAGATGACAAAAGAGGTAAGATACATTATAAATAAACGGTGTAGTGAAGCAGTAATAGATGTGCTGCTTAGGGAGACGGTTAACAGACAGTAAATCAATATATTCACTTCATAAAACATAAAACATCTGTTGTTAATATTGTTTTGGACTGTGTAGCACACATGTCATATTCAGTATTGACTCTTTAGAAACCTTGTCATTTTTCTTATGAATCTTGCATCGTTTCTCTGCTGTATTACAGTGTTAATATAGAGATGTGTATCTGTTGGTGTTTGTATTATTATAGTTTTAAGGGCATTTACTGTCAAAAAATATGTTATGATTTAAGGATCAATATCAAAGTCATTAGAGTGATATGTAGGTATGATTTTAAGTAATATAATGTTATTAGAGCTGAAACAATTAATCGATTAATCGATTGACAGGAAATTAATCGCCAACTAAATTGGCAAACATTTATTTATTTCAGCATCACAAAGGTTAGAATTTGCTGCTTTTCTTTGTCATTTTTTCTTTGACAAAAAACAAAACAAAAATGCCATTTGAAGATATTTTAGAAAAGTGTGATGAACACACCATTTTGTGACATTTTAGGACCTGACCGTTAATTGATTAATCTAGAAAATAATCTGCTGATTAATTGATAATGGAAATAATTCTTACAAAATATTATGCCATCTTCAATGAACATAAAATAAATATTGAAATAAATTATAATAAAACAGAGCAATTGCTTGAACACCTTTTAAAATATTTTTATTACAATTTTATTATGAAATATTTAGAAAAACACATTTTTGGTTGAGGTTACAAGCCAAAATAAATACTGTTGAAAATGCCAAAAATGAATACAATTACTTGTATAAATGTTGTTCTAATCTGAGATGAAGTGAGTTGTTCCCACGTCTCTGAGTGATTGCAGATGCTTGGAACCAGTGCAGTGTTCAGTGATAAATCAGGAAAGCTACTAATGAACAGTGTCTGAAGTGTGAAGAATATGTTTTAAAATATCAGCATCTTCAACAAGCATCAATATTACTGTAATTCCACTGGTAGAAAGTAGACATATGGTAGTATTTGCATGAAATAAATCATTCATTATCAGTTTTGGATACAGAAACTGTATGTAAATTATCAGATATCTGCAAAACAAATCTAATTATAGCAAATTATATTTCCCTTTATTTGAATTCTAGTTTTTTTTCCCAAGCTAAGATGTATATTTGTATCCTTAATAATACCACTGAAAAAGTCAATCCTGAGTGTAATGCTGATGTACTCTGTTCATTTGAGGTGAAGGAGGTGGTGACGTGTCGTGAACCTGAACATGAGGCGTCTGTCCCGAAAGAAGGCCCTGAGTCTGGTGAGGGAGCTGGACGCCTTCCCCAAAGTGTCAGAGAGCTATGTCGAGACGTCAGCATCAGGAGGGACAGGTGACACATCCCTCTGGAAAAGATATACAGTAATATTATTAATAAAAAAAATGATATAAAGTAACCTTATTTACTCTGTCTCATCCACAGTGTCACTTATAGCTTTTAGTGCCATGGCACTTCTGGCTATCTTAGAGTTCTTTGTTTATAGAGACACTTGGATGAAATATGAATATGCAGTTGACAAAGATTTTTCCAGGTAAGTTGTTCAGTACGTTCACTTATTGAATATTAACAATTACACAACAAACATGTCCTAAATTAATTGTGTGACTTTCTACTGATTTTATGCATGTTGCATTATTTACAGCTATAGCATAGAACAGGATATTATTATAGACACTCTTCTTTTTCATTATTTACAGTAAATTGAGAATAAACATTGACATCACAGTTGCCATGAAATGCCAGCGTGAGTATTTAAGCTTCTTTTCCTTTCATATACAGAAACCAGTCAAAGACATGCATTGCAGGTATGCTGTATGTATGTATCAGTGTATTTAAAAACTCATTGTCTGTGCTTGCAGATGTTGGAGCAGATATTCTGGACCTGGCTGAGACCATGATCACATCCAGCGGCCTCCAGTACGAGCCTGTGAGTGAAGCGTGTCTCAGAAAATTTTCTCATCTTTAATTCTGCGTGTGATCACAAGCTGCTTTTTCCACTGTTCATTAAAAGGGCCGCTGCTTGTTAATTAGCCAGTTTTGAGGCACACATATAGGTTATATCCATGCAGGTTTTCTTTCCCGCTTTTAGAAATGTTTTTTTTCACTGCTGCGTTTTTTTCTCTTTTCTCTCTGTACGTTTGATCAGGTTATTTTTGAACTGACTCCACAACAGAGGCTGTGGCAAAGGTAAACTTTCATGAAATCACTCCTGTGCACCAGTGCCAGGAAAATATTACTGTCCAAAATGATGCGATCTAAATTGGAGCCTATGAAAGATCCTCAGTAAAGTCAGAAGTGTTGAAAATGTTATGGCTGGTTGTCGCCCTCTTTTTCTTGTATGAACTTAAACATGTCATGCAAACTATCATGATTAAACTTTAGATTTTAAAAACTATGTAGAA